AGAAAAGGGTTATTACTCTCTTTTTCTAAGTTAATGAGGCATTTTTTTGAGGGGGAGAGATTTTTGCTACAGGGTGAATACATTTGATGGAGAGACAAAGAGAGACAGTGAGAAATCACCCCCTAGGGAGGATGGCCACACCAAAATCCATTCTCAGGAGTTTAGGCACATATGCACACTTGCCTGGTGTGAGTTTCAAGCCACCAGGTCTAGGCCTCAAACCATGGTCGACCATGTGGGAGTTCAGTGCATTAACTACTAACCACCTGCTGGCCCACTAATGGCCCACTAATGAGGCTCTTAATGGTGGAAAGTAAAAGGAGGAAACATCCCACTGTATTGTATTTATCTGTCAGTATTTTTTTAAACATTTTTACCAGATAAAGTATCAAAATGATGCACAATAGGAGGCCAGGTTGTGGCGCAGCAGTAAAATACAACACTCTGCAAGGCAAATCCACAATGGAAAGTTCAAACTTGGGAGACCTGTGTTCATATGAGCCAGGTTGCTTGAACCTGGGGGGGATGGTGTCATTGAGACCCTACTGGGGTACTATATCTACCTCTGTTTCTCTCTCAAGGAAGAAATTTTTAAAAAAGAAAAAACTTTGTATAACAGGGCTGGACCTGTAGCACAGCAGTTAAGCACTGTGGTTAGAGAGCTGGATCCCACATGGCCAACTGCAGTTTGAATTCCAGTCCTACAGCTTGAAAAACACTTTGGCTATGTGTGTGCATCTCAAATTCTCACAGGATGGGGAGATAGAAGAAAAAGGATTGTGGTGTGACTATGTCCAAGGTGTGGGTGCTTCGTCTCTCTTTCTTGATAGTTCATGAGTCTTTGACAATTAAAAAGTATGTATACAATAATATTCACAGCTAAATATAAAGAATGTTTCCCTTCATTCAATCATTCTGTTCTTGACAGTGTGAGGTTGATTTTCTCCCCCCTCCTTCATTGACTTTTCTAAGGACAGAATGTCTCTGTGTTCGTCTGATGTTTTTTCTCTTAAAACATTTTATAAACCAGTAGTTTTTGAGATACCTTTTTTATTTTTTTAAATGGAATCAACCTCCACCTAAGGAAAAATAAATCTTAAGAGATCAGACCACCCACAATCTTCTTAATAGAGAATGATGGCAAAACATCAGATAGAGTTCTTAGAAACTACTGTGAAAAGAGTGGGGAAAAATATTTTCCTGTGCAGAATATAATATATTCCCTATAGGTACAAACAGTTTAACCAGAAAGGAGCATATGGCCCAGCTGCAGTAGTACAGGCTGGTTAATCCCACTACTCGGCAGCCCAAGGCCATGGGAAATGCCTGGATTTTATTTCCAAACCACTCTAGGATCTGGGTGCAGTGTCACACAACTACCATCCCACTTTTCTCTACACAGACAGACACACACACATGTAAGGAAAGGCAACAGCCAGCATTATTGTACTTAACATACATGTGTTTATAAATAAAGGACTATTGAATTGATGAGCTAAATTAATCATTGATAAACGTTTCCTTTATGTAATATTAATTTCCAATGTCTATACAGGATAAATCAAAAATGTGTTTTCTATGTTTGCCCTTATTCTATTCTCTGGATCTCGTAGAGAGTGGGGGCTGACATCTTAAATTTAATCACCTCTTGTATCAGTTGTCTTTCAGCAGGGTCAGCCAATGAGAAGCCTTTACAAGGTTTCCAGGGCATAAAGATGGGTAAAGTCTTTGTCTCTTCCCTTGTGTTTCTGACTCAGGTATTAAATTTGGCAGTGTCATGTCTCTTTTTTTGTTTGTTTTGGAGAGGTTTTTGCTACAGGGTTCATGCGCTCACCAGAGAGACAGAGAGTCAGAAAGCGAGAAGTCACGCCCCCTAGGGGGGATGGCCATGACGCAATCCCTTCCCCTCCATTCACCTCTCGGGATCTTGGGCATGCACACACACGCGCCCTGTGTGAGCTTAAACCACCGGGTCCGGGTCTTGAACCACGGTCAATTACATAGGAGTTCATCAACATAGCCATTTCGCTAATTGCTGGTCCCGGCAATGTCATGTCTTTTCACAACTCCAGGTCACACTAGATAGGACAGTCATGCTAACAGCCACTGCTAGGATAACACCAGCACCTACCTTCTCATAACTTCATCTTCACCTTCAATGTCATTTTCAACTTCATCTTTGCTTTGTCCCTTCAGTCTAGGAACAATGTTAGCTTCCAGCTGTTGCCCATTACTGGGTTGAGTAACCCTCCCTTATTGACTTCTTGGATCCTTCATTACCTGCCCAACAAATCCATTTATAATATGCTTTCTGCTGGAAATTAGGTGAGCCCCAATCAAGAAACTCCATTCTATTTTGTGCATCTTAAAGATAACTTGTGAATATGCATTTGAAATAACTGGGGAAGCCTTCTCATTGTTAAAAATAAAATAAGACACAAATACTGTGAAGCTGGGAAAGACATGAGCTCCATCTTCAAGGACTTTCATACTCCTCATGTATATTTTATAATAAAACCTGAAAAAAAAATACTATTCAACCCCATGGAACAGCCAAGCCTTATTTCAATGTCCTATATTGGAACTCTTTCCTCTTTTTCTTTTCTTTTCTTTTTTTTTTTTTCCTATAGGGCACATGCACTCACCAGAAAGACAGAGAGAGACAGAAAGTGAGAAATCACTCCCCAAGGGGGATGGCCATGCCATAATCCCTTCTCCTCCATTCTCCTCTCGGGATCTTGGGCACGTATGTGAATGCACCGGTATGAGTTTAAGCCGGGACTCGAACCACGGTCAACTACATGGGAATCCAGAGATATAGCCATTATGCCAACTGCTAGTCCCCTCTCTCCTCTTTTTCTAATGAAAACTATATACAGTAACCAGTTTAAACTGAAACCCTTAAAAATCACATAAATGGAGCAGACTTCAGACTGAGTAGAAGAAAACTGTGTGTTAATATCCACATCTTCATCCACCCTAAAATATATTGCCATGGTTGATTAAAATAATCACTGTGAGTAGTATTTGTGTACTCTTAACATGAAACAAGAAAACCCCTTATATAGAAACAAAACTGTGAGCTCTAAGGAGACATCCACGAAAATGTATGGTATTTCCCATTGTTCTGATCAGGCTGAGGTGAGCAGGGCTCACCTAAAGACCACGAAAAGCCCCAGCTTAGGAAGAAACCACCTGAGAGGAAACTAACTAGATATTAGCCAATTCAATTCCACAAATAATCACTAAGTCCCTAGAGTGAACCCAGCAATACACCAATCACCAGCTTCTAAAAGTTAAACTATGAACCTTGGGTAATAAAGGAAACCAAACAGTCTTGTTAGAATTATAAAAAGAAGAAGGAGTATTATTCAAGGAAGACATTGACTCAGCAAACAAAGAATAACATTTTCCTTATCCCATTGATACACTCCTCCAACTAGTGTTTCACTCTCCTTTAGCTCTTAATCTATAGCTGCTAAATAAACGTGCTCTGTGCTTTGTCCTATGTATAGTGAGAAAGTGGCATATATAGTGGCATTTTCTTTCTTTCTTTCTTTCTCTTTTCTCTCTCTTTGATTCAGATTTTTTATCATTTGAGATCATTAGAAAGGGAGCATTTTTTTCCCCTTTTTTTTAGAGGTTTTTGCCTTAGGGCGTGTGCACTTGCCAGAGGGACAGGGAGAGACAGAGAGACAGAAAGCAAGAAATCACCCCCTGGAGGGGATGGCCACACCACAATCCCTTCTCCTCCACTCTCCTCCTTGGATTTGGGGCATGCATACACACACTCAAAGCCTCTAGGTCCAGGATTCAAACCATGACCTACTATGTGGGAGTCCAGTGACGTAACCATTCTGCCATCTATTGGTCCTAAAAACTAGGAAATTTTAAAAGGGCAGAATCTAGGCCCACAAACCACAATGTGAACATTAATTCCAATACCTTGTATCACTTCACATATCAGAGATGAGGGTGTGTCAATTCCATGAATGCTTTTTTAAAAGGGCGTTATCATCTGGCACTTTATTGCTTTATAATTCATCACTTCAGCAGTTCTGAGAATCTAAAAAAAATAGTTTAAAAGTGTTTCAGCATCCCTAGCTGTCTCTGCAGTTACCCCACCCACACTGCCTCACCTGTACCCTTTCAAACTGCCAGAACTTGCTTTGCTTGTGGGTTTATTCTTGACACTAGAACCTATTTCTTCCACCCTTGTGCCAGGCTAGAAAAATCAGGCAATTCACTCACCCCAGAAGCAGCCTTTAACCAAACAACACGTCCTTCTTTGGTGTGGGATGTGTCACAAGCGGGGTGAGAACTAGCTGCTCAGGCTGGGCATTGCTTGGCCATGTCCCCTCTCTGCCATCATGACCTTGTATCATTGCCCACTTGCTTCCCAGCCTTTCCTTCACAGCCCAAACAAATTCTTTGCACTCAGAACCTTATCTTAAGGGCTGTTTCAAGAGGAATCCAAATTGAGAACTAATTTATAACCCTCTGGGAATATGACAGCCAACTCCTATTAAGTAAATCATCCTTATGTACATTTTGTATGGAAGAGTCCAGTGAATAGATGTTTCTACTGATAAAGCTATCGTGATTAATGAGGAAAACAACTGAAGCAACATTTTGTCTTTCTGTCCTTTGCTCCCTCTTTTTTAAGCATGTCTGACTAATCAGGGCACTTTTGGGCACAGCAACACAAAGCAACCCACAATGAAAATTAAGATCATAGAGTGACCAGAAATTCAGGCTATAGATATCCCACCATTGTAATTACACTCAACTGTGCTCACTTACCAACCAGCTTGCTTTCTGCATTTATTAGTTTGCCATTTACAATGCCAGTGAATTATTAAAAGATTATAAATCCTTTCCCAACAATTATTCTGATGCTATTTTTGTTTCTCTGACTATAAAGAACTAAAATTAAAATTAGATGCAAATGAATGCCAATTTAGCTTACATTTCAGAATTTCAAGCAGGGAACTGAGAAATGGTTGTGATAAAAGTGTATTTATTCTTTCTGACTTGTGGCATCATGTTGCTGTTTTAGGGAGTAAATATGTTATCTTTCCAAATACAGTTTTGCAGCTCATTTTAATAGACTTTACACAAAGTGTATTGGCTTCCAAAAATAGGAATGTGTGCATGTCAAGACTATACTTCTATAATTAGCCTCTCAGCTTTGCCATTACTTAACAACTTCTTCACATTACAGATCAGTTCACAGTACCATAAAGAGTAGTTATTTCCTGTAGAAAGTTACTTTTCTTTTGTGACCAGATTGTAAATTACATTTAGGCAAATGAAAAAGTGTTAGCTTGTTAATAGAAACCATTAACAATCCTTTTTTCTTGCTGTTTTCAGCGAAACATAAGCAGGCTTGACTTAAGAAAGCATTATTTAGCTGAAAAATAAAATCATAAAGATAGTAAACAGGTTAGTTTCCCATTTGTTTTTGTTATCTGAAATTATCATTGATCAAGGAGATAAATCATACCATTTCTATAAATGAGTGCGTTGAACTTTTAAGATAGATGTCTTTTAAGGTTATTTGTAAACAATTATAAGTGAAAAGGACCCTGTCATAAGAGGAAAATAAAAACAACCTGGAACTTTACAGATATTTAACTACTTCTCTGTCTTTTTTAGTGTTTCATATATTTATAATAGTAACATAAAGGAAGCAGAAGAAAGGCACCTGGGGTAAAAAAAGAAAGCAGATGCATCATATTAACAGGGTGAAGTGAAAAGCTTCCACTGTCACAGAGAACCCCACTTGCGAAACTTTAACTCAAGGGGTTACTTAAATGTATGGCCTTAAAGAAATTTAATGATACGTTATGGTTCATCCGAACTTGTCAGTTGGCCCCAAGCTGCGATAATCAACTTTTCAATGTCAGACTCATTTACTCCTCGAAGAATCCTGAAATAGCCATTCTCTCCCCATGACTTTCCCCAGGAATTGGCTGCAACCTGCAGAAAAACAAAAAATGAAAAAGTTGAGTATCATACATTGGTATTTTTAAATCCTGTCTATAAAATACAGTGAACTCATCTATAGTTTTAATTTCCTTTAACTAACTATAGATAATAGTTACTGAAAATCTAAATATTTTCTGAATAAGTAAATAATCAAATGGTTTTACTATTCATCAGTTATATTAATATATATGTATGTATGAAGGGTTCTTCAAAAAGTTCATGGAAGGGACCAGCAGTTAGTGTAATGGCTATGTTGCTGGACTCCCATGTAGCTGACTGCTGTTCGAGTCCCGGAACCAGTGGCTTAAACTTATGCCAGGCACATGTGCGTATGTGCCCAAGATCCCTAGAGGAGAATGGAGGAGAAGGGATTGCGGTGTGGCCATCCCCCCTGGGGGGTGATTTCTCGCTTTCTGTATCTCTGTCTCGCTCTGTCTGTCTAGCGAGCACACACGCCCTATAGCAAAAACCTCTCTAAAAAAAAAAGTTCATAGAAAATGTACATTATGAAAAAAGTATGCATAATTTTCAAAAACACTTTAGCAACAACATAAACCTATACTTTAATTCCATTTTTCCACGACCTTTTTAAGGTCCACTCAGATGCTGGTGACAGTCAAAGCTGGTGTGACTTTTCTAAGTTCCCCAGTGTACAAAGGTGACGTATGTGTGAGAGTTTAAACTGCCACTTTACATGATGATGCACAAGCTACAGTTAATAGCGTCTACTTTGTGAACAGCCTTGTGTTAGGCACCAGAAGACCAAAGACACATAGCACATTATTCTATGTCCAGGGAGCTTGTAGTCTAATGAAGATGATCAGGACAAAAGTAGAAATAGGCAGACAGCATTACTGAGGTCAGAGGAGAAGCATCACTCCTATTTGGATGGTTCAAAGATGATGTTGTAGATGTGCCACATGAGATGCATGTTAAAACCTAAGCATAAACTCATCAGCTAAAAAAGGAGGAGGAAGAATCAGGTAAAGAGAAACACTAAGAGCATAAACACCAAAGTGTGAAGCAACACGAAGTGAAATGAAGCAATGAAATTGTTAATCATAAAACAGAAGCAGATTGAGCCTAGAAAGGGAGGTAAAGGCACATAGACTGAGAAAATAATAGTGAGGATGATGATAAATTGTTGAAGTTGCTTCCAGCCAGAGAGCAAGGTGGACAAATTTGTATTTCGATTATATCATCCTCTCTGGCATGAGGCAGATTGATTTAGGAGGGTACAATAAGAGGCAGGAAGGCTTGCCAGTACACTTTGCAATAATTCAGTTGCATATACCAAATGGGGTGGGAAGATAGAAAGTTTTTGCTACACCTTCAGAAATACACTACTTTAGAATTAGAATATTTTCCTTTTTTTTTTTTTCTTTTTAAAATATGAAGATAGTTGGGACAAAATGATTCTGGGTTTAAAGTATGGATGAATAAGTGTATGGTGGGACAAAAACATTAATGAAGTGTACAGAGAATGCCATGAAGACAAAAGCGGCACATGCAAAGAGTTAGTTGACAATGGCCGAATGAGGCAGAAGAGCCCAGTAAACCAGAACCTTCACAGCAGCATTTCCCATACTTGCCTTACATTCTCCCTATGCTGGGCCTAAGATGGAAACTTTTTATCGGCATGAGAATACATTGGTATTCTCAAGGCAGAAGTTGTAGCATTGAGCTTTTACTGTTTTCTACCATGTAAGGGAAGGGTAGATTCATTCAGCATCAGAATTGTCATGACAATATGAGCTTTAACAAATAACCAATTATCATTAGCTTTTCTTGTCAAGATTTGCACTTTGCTTCTTTAATCAGTCCTAACAACTGAAAGGAGTACTCTCAAAGCTATGTCGATAAAAGAACTCAACTTACCATTTCAAAGATGGAATGGATTTTGAATATCTGAAAACGAGGCAGCATCGAAGTGTATGAGAAACAAGGAACTAAACTCAATTCCAATTTCCCTATTTTCTAGTCAGTTCTGGTATATATGTGTGTGTATATATGTATATTTATGTATATACCTAAAGGATCTTCAAAAATTAATGAAAAATGTTTATGATGAACAAACTACATGAATTTCAAAAAAAATTTTACAGCAAAATAAATTTGTACTTTGATTTCATTTTTTCTGTGAGCTTTTTGAAGTCCTCTTTGTATTTACAAAGGTTGAAAAGTTGAATTAATCACAACCTAAGATAAATAGTTAGGAATATTTATATTGCTATATTCTTATAAGTATGATATGTGGCACTTCATCTATTCTTTTTTTGGAGAGGTTTTTGCTATAGGGCACATGCACTCGCCAGACAGAGAGAGACAGAGAGATAGAAAGCGAGAAATCACCCCCCAGGGGGTATGGCCACGCCGCAGTCCCTTCTCCTCCATTCTCCTCTTGGGATCTTGGGCACACATGCACACGCGCCCGGCGTGAGTTTAAGCCACCGGGTCCAGGACACGAACCGCAGTGGACTATGTGGGAGTCCAGCGACATAGCCATTATGCTAACTGCTGGTTCACGGTCCCCATCTATTCTTATTTAAATGTCTAAAGACTATTATCATCCAAAATTTTATCATAAGATCTTTGATGAATAAGGGCTGGGGTAGGAATACGAGGATTTTATAAACAAATGTAAATTTATGTGCAAATGAGAGCTGGCCATAGATTTTCAAGAAAGATGACATAATTATAAAGTGGGACATTTTGGAAATTAGAGCTAATAAAAGGTATCTCAGGACATGTATTTTGTTTTTTAACTTTATCCATCCTGCTCTTATTTTGCAAAATTACTCACGTTTTGTTTGTTCAGTATACTTGAATATGTTTACATTTGGGAAAGTGTGGGAATACAGGGGAAGAAATTTCTAAAGCTTTAACTTCTGGGATTTTTGTATTGTGATATATGATAGCCACATGTGTAAAGATAATCATTAAATGTAAAGTTTAGTGAATTTTTATATGTGTGCATAAAGTTCATGCCAGTGTAATCTACATTTAGATTAAGATACAAAATATATATGGCACCCTTCAAAGGTCTGCTATGTCACTTTTCTGTCAACACCTACCTTCCTTTCTACCATCAGATTTTCCTGTGATTCATTTTTATAATAATGGAATAATGTAGCATATAATGTTGTGTATCTTGCTCCTTTAGCTCAGAATAATGCCTCTGAGATTCATCCATACTACAACACATATAAGGAAATCATTCATTTCATTGTTGTGTATTTTCACTGTGAGACTATACAACAATTTCTTTATTCATTCTCCTATTGATAAATGTGATGAACATAAACATAAGTAGTAGTATGAACAATACATTCGTCACTACTATAGGAGTTCTAGTTGCTCCACCTCCTCATCTACACTGGTAGTATCAATTCTTTTAGTTTTAGCCAGTTTAGTGTATATGTAGTGGTATCTCATTATGGCTTTAATTTGTATTTCTGTGATAACCAATAAAAGTGACTGCCTTTCATATGTCCATTGACCATTTTGAATTATTTTCTAAAATGTCTGTTCAAAACTTTTGTCTGATATTTTGTGGGTGAGTTTTTTTACTTTTGTCTTCTTACATATTTTCTATGTATTCTATATGTGAGTTTTTGCGAGATATCATTCTTTTTGTATAAATTACAGATGGATGAATGGATGGATGAGTGCATATTCTCTGCCTGTGATACATCTTGCTATCTTTGGAATAACTCTTCTTATTTAATGTAGTCTAATGACTTTTTCTTATAAATTCATTCATTTTGTTTGTTTGTTTGTTTGGAGAGGTTTTCACTATAGGGCGCATGTGCTTGCCAGACAGACCGACAGAGACATAGCGACAGAAAGCGAGAAATCAACCCCCAGGGGGGATAGTCACACCACAATCCCTTCTCCTCCATTCTCCTCTCGGGATCTTGGGCACGCACGCACACGCACCCAGCGTGAGTTTTAAGCCACTGGGTCCAGGACTTGAACCGCGGTCGACTACATGAGAGTCCAGCGACATAGCCATTACGCTAACTGCTGGTTCCCTAAATTCATTCATTTTGTGTCTAGTTTAATGAAGCTTTGTCTAATAGACAACATTAACATATTTGCCTATGCTTTCCTCAAGAGATTTTATGATTTGTTTGCAATCACATTTAGGTCTAAGTCCTATTTCAAATGATTTTTGTGTGTATTTCACGAGGCATAGGTTCAGAATTACTTTTTTCATGAGTCTACAAAATTTCTGTAGCATAGGATTTGGCAAACCATGGTTCATAAACCAAATCTGGCTGGTAGCCTGTTCTGGTACAGCTCATCAGCCAAGAGTGTTTTGTTTACATTTTTCCTAGTGCATTCTACTTTTTTTTTTAAGTCTAATACATAAAATTTTAAAATATTTACCATTTAGCTCTTCACTGAAAACATGTACCATTCTCTGCTTCAGCTGTTTTCTAAAAAGACTTCCCTTTCTCTATTGAAATGCTGTGATGCCCGTTATAAAATGAGTGACTATATTGTGTATATCAATATCTGAATTTTTTAGTAATAAGCCTATTTTTCTATTATTATGTTAATAAACTCATTATGGCTTTAATTTGTATATCTGTGATAACCAATGAAATTGACTGCCTTTCCATATGTCTATTGGCCATTTTGAATTCTTTTCTAAAATGTCTGTTCAAAACTTAAATTATGTCGGGACCAGCAGTTAGCATAATGGCTATGTCGCTGGACTCCCATGTAGTCAACCACGGTTCGCTTCCCAGACCCAGTGGCTTAAAACTCACACCAGGCGCGTGTGCGTGCGTGCCCAAGATCCTGAGAGAAGAATGGAGGAGAAGGGATTGTGGTGTGGCCATCCCCCCGGGGGGTGATTTCTCGCTTTCTGTCTCTCTGTCTCTCTCTGTCTGTATGGCAAGTGCGTGCGCCCTAAAGCAAAAACCTCTCAAAAAAAAAAAAAAAATTTATTTTATTTTATGAAATCTATTAACCTGAGTCTTCCAACTTTGTTTACTTCATGGAGCTTGTCTTAGGCACTTTAGGTCTTTTGCATTTTTATATGAAGTTTAGAACCATATTTTCAATATAATCCCCATCTCCTCCTCCCAAGAAAAGCTCGTCTAGGACTTAGATTAGGATTTCATTAAATGTATAGATCAATTTAAGGACAATTGACATGTTAAGATAGACCCGGGCCGGGATTTCTCGCTTTCTGTCTCTCTGTCTCTCTCTGTCTGTATGGCAAGTGCGTGCGCCCTAAAGCAAAAACCTCTCAAAAAAAAAAAAAAAACTTATATTATGTCATGAAATCTATTAACCTGAGTCTTCCAACTTTGTTTACTTCATGGAGCTTGTCTTAGGCACTTTAGGTCTTTTGCATTTTTATATGAAGTTTAGAACCATATTTTCAATATAATCCCCATCTCCTCCTCCCAAGAAAAGCTCGTCTAGGACTTAGATTAGGATTTCATTAAATGTATAGATCAATTTAAGGACAATTGACATGTTAAGATAGAATTTTTAAAATTATGAACACGGTGTATCTTTCTTTTTATCTAGCCTGATCTTTGTTAATTTCTCTAAACATTGTAAAAATTCTGCACAACTTTCTTTGAAATGTTTCTTAGGTTTTGAGTTTTGTCATTATAAATAATGTTTACCTTTAATTTCAGTTCAAACTGTTTCTATTACATAGAAATATAATAATTTATGTATGTTGACCTAATATTTAGAAACCTTACTAAATATGCTTATTTCTAATACTTTCTAGATTATAAAAGTCTATGTACATAATAAAATCATTTGCAAATACTGTCAGTTGTATTTTTTCCCCCAAACTTCCAAATTGGCTGAGATTTGAGATCATCAATGGGTTCTAAGGTAGGTAGAATTCTAGTATGACCCCCCAAACTCTCCTCCATTACAAATTCTTTGAATAATCTCCTCTTCCTGCATGTAGACAAGGTCTGTGTGATATAATGAGATAACTCTTATGATTGTGTTATTTCTAATTATTTGATTGTGAGTTAATCAAAAGGGAGATTGATCTGCACGGACCTAACTAATCAAATGAAACCCTTAAAACAGTGTCTAAGGAATTAGAAGTTTTACTTTGTTTTTCCTAATAGTCTTAAAGACAAGAGCTTAGAAGAGAAGTTGAAAGTGTAGGAGACCAACAGGTGCTGTGGTGGGTAAGGCACCGGACACTACCATATTACTGAACACAGTTCAAGTCCTGTGGTCAAGTCCTGTGGCTCGCTTTCGCATTTTCCCTCTCTGTCTCTCACTCCATGTGTCTCTCTCTGGTCAAATTAAAATAAAATGAATAAATAAATAAAAGGAAATGAAATAATTTTCTTTAAAAATGGTTTTAAAAAATGAAAAGTGCTGGGACCAGCAGTTAGCATAATGGCTATGTCGCTGGACTCCCATGTAGTCGACCGCGGTTTGCGTCTTGGACCCAGTGGCTTGAAACTCACGCCGGACGTGTGTGCATGCGTGCCCAAGATCCTGAGAGGAGAATGGGGGAGAAGAGATTGCAGCATAGCCATCTCCCCCTTGGGGGGGGGGATGATTTCTCGCTTTCTGTCTCTCTGTCTCTCTTGTCTGGTGAGTGCACGTGCCCTATAGCGAAAACCTCTCAAAAAACAAACAAACAAAAAAAAACGAAAAGTGCTAAAAGGACTACAGTCCAGGCAATCCTTGATTACATGCTTATTTGACCCTGAATAGAGGACCCAGCTAAACTGACTGGACTCCTGATCCACAGAAAATAGGATAGTAAATAAATGTTGTTTTAATCGGTTCAATCTGTGACAATTTGTTACATAATAATAAAATATTAATTCAGGTGCTGAATTTGATTCATGCATTTTATGTATCAATTAAGATGCTCATCTGCTTTTTTTGTTCCTGAC